ACTTATTACATTTAAACCAACTCGATACATGTATAAGCTCTTTGTCACTATGATGTCACTATGAACTTAGCTTCATTAGAATTTCAACCGTTTACATCAGCTCTTTCAGATTCGTTAGCAATATATAAGGAAAGTCCAGTAGCTTCCACATCTGCTAGAACTATTTTTTGTGTCAATAGTCAAGCTATAGCCTCGCCCTATGAGGTACAACCACGTCCTAAGGCCGGACCACGCAGCCAGAGTAAACGCGGGAGAAAACAGGGCAAAACACGTATTTTGACCAATACACCAGAAAACCTGGCTATTTAGCTAGCAAAACAAAATAAAAAGAAAAAAGTAGAACCAAAGTATAAATTGGTTGCAGTCATATCAAAAAATAAAACTGTAAAGACTTCATTTTCGAATTCAAATGAAAACATTGATGATACTTTCTGTCTTGTGTGTGGCGAGCCCTATTCAAATAGTAGATCAAGGGAAACTTGGGTTCAGTGTGTAGACTATAAATTGTGGGCCCATGAAGAATATACAGATGGTACTCCTGCTTTTATTTGTGAAAAATGTTTATAGTGATTTAAAAAAAACACATCTTTTTTTTTAGTTTGTTTACTTAATCTTTTGTATTTGTTTACCTAATCTTTTGTGTTTAATTACTTAATTAGTTTTTTAAAGCATCATTTTCAAGTCTTATTAAATGTATCAACTTGCCCCATGGTGTGTATCAACTTGCCCCAGCATAGGGCAGGTCGATACACATATGTTTACCTTACTTTTTATGCTGTATTTATTTTAATTATGTTCTTATCAATAAAATTGTGGTACTAAAATATAAAGGATACTTAGTGAAACATATAGAAGTTATTATTTCCACTCTAAATATAATATTTAGCTTTTAATATCAGAAAATGTAAAAACTGTATCAACGTTCCCCCTCTTCCCTAACATTTAAAATTTGTTTAGTTCTTTATATAATTAATTTGTAGTATACCATCATATAAATGTTTAAAAAATGTGTTTTGGATCTCTTTTTAAGAATATATCCACGAAGCTTCCGGATGCATTAATAACATGATTTACTAATTTTTCAACATCCTGAGATTTCAATCAACTGAATTTTCAACTAAAAGTTAAGTAAAATTGATACTTTACAAGAATCAAATAAAAACATCAAATTAGGTCAAAAGCAAAAAAGATTATCGTCAGTTAAAAACATTTAAAAGAAGGTAAATAAGTAAACGGGCGCTGAACCGAACCCGAGCTCTGCTTTTGCGCTTTTAGCGGCCGCCGGTATAGTTGAAATTTGCTTACATCAATCATTAAATTGATGAATCTAAATGACTAGATGCATGTTAAAAGTAATAAAGTCTTCATTATTATTTCTTTCAAGTAACTTTATGCATTAAGTTTAAATAAAAACCTTTTAAAAAAAGTTTTTAAACTCTTCTTGCATATTTTAAGTCTTTGATTCCAAAGAGACACTGCAACATAATGTCATCGTTGTCTAATTAAATTGCTCTATTGTTTCTGACGAGTGCATTTAACAAGGTGAAGAATAGAAGTTTTTCCTTTATTTGAATATTGCTTTTGCTTTTCATGACACTTTTATTTTGACTCAGTTTCATTTTTTTTAACTTAACCTTCCTAAATTTATAAATTCTTTAATATTATAAATTATAACAATTTAAAAATCATCAATAGCTATTATTAGAAAACTTATAAAATAAAGCCTTAGTAATATATGATTTATTCTATTATTCCAATTTGTTATATAAACTTTAATAGGAAGTTTATATAACGGTAAATTTCAGACATCTTAATTGATATTAATAATTTCCAGTCTTTAATATAATCTATTAAGAACCAGTTTAATGAAGTTCATCAGAAATTGAATTCAAAATAAATGTTTAAATTATTTTTACCTTTTATGCAATCTCTGCTGTATTCAAATCTTAGTATATTCATCACATACTTATTTATTTAACAGTTTTAATCCTGAAATTTGATGCCTAAATATTTTGCTTTATAAAAATTAATATAAAAAACTTCATGCGAACGAATTTCTGAACAACGTTATTTGAGAAGAAGCTCTTGAGTTGTAAAATTACTTTTTGATCTGTTAAAATTTTATCTTCAAGTTTTAAAATCAATGAATAAATAAAAAGGTCCTTGTTCTTTTTAAACAAATAGTCAAAAAAAATTTTTTTCATAATTCTTCTATTTGACCATCAACAAATTATAAAATAAAACTTATTACTTTAACTAATTATAAAAGTGTAATTATAAAATAATGACTAATTATAAGTTAATAACTAAATATAAAGACTTACTTTAATATATCATAACATAAATACATACATTTATATTTATGAGTATGTATGTGTATATGTACAAGCCATAACATACTTATTAAAATATAATAATTTATTTCACATATAGTGTTTTAAACAAACATTAAAATATTTAAATTATAAAGTGTCACTAAACAATAATAATAGTATATCAGTTATATTCTTGAATGCATTTTTGTTATCAGCTTTTGAAACTTGATTTTTTTTTTTTTTGTCAAGAAAATTACAGATATACAGGTGGTAATTATCACTGATAATTTGTGCTTTTGTGTTATAAGAGACAGTTTTCTGAAGTTTATTAACAATTAATAGAAGTTATTAAACTTAAAGTAATTTAAATATATCAGATGGTTTAAATTTTGCTTTTATTTTTATTAACAGAATACATGAAATGAATGATAACAAACTTTTTTAGAATATAATCATTTTGCACATGGAGATTATCACTCATTAATAGTTTTGATGGTTTTATATTTGAATATAAAATATATTGTTTATATATATATATATATATATATATATATATATATATATATATATATATATATATATATATATATATATATATATATATATATATATATATATATATATATATATATATATATATATATATATATATATATATAGTCTTGCATGGTAGTCACAAAGTTTTTCCCATAAACTATTGTTTTAAAGAGCACGTTAATAAGCCTGACTAGAAAATGTTAAAAAACTTCAATAAAAGTTTTTTTTTTTTAAATGATAGACTGCCTGCCCAAACCAAACCCTCAGTCGATGTAGCAGCACTCCCTTGTGAGTCAGGCTATTTGTCAGTCGATGTAGCAGCTCTCCCTTGCGAGTCAGGCTATAAGATAGTCGATGTAGCAACACTCCCTTATAGCAGTAGGCTATAAGATAGTCGATGTAGCAACACTCCCTTATAGCAGCAGGCTATAAGATAGTCGATGTAGCAACACTTACGCATGTTTTAAAAATGTTTTTTAATAAAACAAAAACACCACTAATTAAAAGAAACTTTATAGTCATTATTATTGCGGTTTTTTTAAAAAATAATAAAATTTAATGTACTTTTGCATTAATTTAATTGCTTTGACATTTCGGCTATAATAAAATGCAGATTAAGAGACAAGGTAAAAAAATTGTAGTCGAAAGAGACTTTTTTTACCATAAAAGTCTCTTTGGACTACACTATAAGCTCTGGTTATATGACAGTTCTGGTTCTAAAATGTTGCCGTAACTTTGAACCTCATTTATTTTTACTAAGTAGCCAATTTTTTTAAAGTTTAGTTTGCATATAAAAATATAAGCAAAGAACAACAAATTTATAAATTGTGTACAATAAAATAATGTTACACAACTTGGTTCGCTCCAAACAACATTTAAATGCTAACTCTTTTATTTATAAGGCAGTAACTTAATATTGAAAAGAAGAATAATATTGAGAAAAAGATTCCAAAACTTGATTAGATAAGATAACAGTTGTTACAAAATGATCTTTTATTCTAATATGTCTATCAGTTGCTTGCTGGTCTTTTTTTTATTATTTGGACTTTCAAAATAGAATAGCAGATATGACCGATTCTTCAATTGAAGGTAGAAAAGTTTTAACTAAAATCTTTTAGGGTGGTGTAAACTTTTTTTTTTGACAGCTGCCGCCCAAATTTTTTTCTTAGAATAGGCCCTGACTACTTACTGACTGAGACCTAATTTGATAATTTTTATCTGAGAAAATACACTAAGATTAATTAGGACTTTAGCTTGATCTCTTAAACATTAAAAATTAAAAACTTGGACTTAAGCTTGACCTCTTTAACTTGAACTCTAAGTAAGGCAGTGACATTGCTTATAAAGGTGTACTAGTACTATGTATCACAGAATAGTATAATCCATTTAAAAAATAATTAAAAATAACAAACAAAGGTTATTTATGCTGAATGTTACATACATACTTTCCCATTTTAATTCAAATTATGTTATTTAAATTTTAAAAGTAAGGATAAAACATGCCAAAATAACTACCAAATAATACTGTATGCATATTTGTTAAAGAGTTATAAGTTATAATCATGTATAGGGTTGCCAGTAGTCTGGCTTTTACATTGGAGAATACAGTGCAGAAGCTTTAAAATTAAAGATTTTTACAGTGTTCTCCTTTGTAAAAGCTGGATATCCGGCAACACTAATCATGCAGAAACACCCTAGAGTTGAAAAACTTAATAAACTGATTAAAATTCAAGTTTGTTTTGTAATTTCCAAAAGTAGCTAGTGACATGTTTTTTTTTTTACTTATATCTATTTTAAAAACATAAACATATGTTTTAAACTGAAAAATCAATAAAACTTATAGATGCTTTTAATTTTTTTCACACCACTGTGTATAAAAATTTAAAAATCATTAAAATTTAACATCTGCAAAGTTATAAATCTAGAATCTTTAAAATATATTGTTAGAAACATACTTTTAAATATGGGGTGCTCTTGTAACAAAGGTTTATATTTGGCTCACATTTTTATTATTATGTAAAAAGGTATCAATTTTAATGAGTTCTAACATATCCTACATTTTTATATTTAATAAAAATGTTTAAGAAAAATAAATATCCATTTTACACTCAAATTTTTTCTTAGCAGAATGTATGCAGTGTGTCAATTTTATATTTTTTCATTTAGATAATATATTTTTTATAATAATATATTTGTTATAAACATATAAAATGTCATCAAGTGATTACAAGGTAAGATGAACTTTTAAATATTTTTAGTTTTCATATATACATATATATATATATATATATATATATATATATATATATATATATATATATATATATATATATATATATATATATATATATATATATATATATATATATATATATATGTATATATGTATATATATATATATATATATATATATATATATATATATATATATATAATATAATATATATAGTTGTTCTCTTTTGAAAAGCCTACAAATGCTTTTGACATACTTGAGTAGATTTTAATATTATGATGTTGGCTATATTATGTTGCATTTTTATTATCTTTTATCTTTTTATTAAAAGCTTCAAAAAATAATTTTTAAAATTCAAATTAGAATATAAAAGAATTGGTTTTGAAATTTTTTTAATTGTTTTAAAAAACATTCATTTAATAAGTCATTTCCGAATTACATTAACTATATGATTTTTTTTTTTAATATTATTAATATTATTTTTATTATTTCATAGTTTTTAATATAAGATAGGAAAAAGTATATTTCAGTGTTATTTAATTAAATCAAAAAATTCTTCTCTACAGTTTCATGATTTTTTGTTTGTTGTTGTTTTGTTACTTTTTTGAAGTTTTTTATTATTTTTTTATTTTCAGGTGAACTAATATTTGTTGGAACTCTAATTCCATCTACAAAATCAGGGCTAAATTAAAAACATTAAGTAACACATGCCGTCTTAGCTGATATTATTATCGGATACTGTTCCGATATAAATATCATGCTTAATTTACATATATATATAAATATCAATGAAGGTTCATTCAAAATTTTGTGCCGACCTAAAAGGGTTTTAAGTTGGCAATTTTTTCGCCAATCTTATTTTTCCTAATTCCAAGGGCTGCCTTGTATTAGCCAGATTACAATTTTTAGAAAAGTTTTTAAAATATAAATTAAAAAAGAGTTTTCACTTGGTCAGAATTCAGGATTCAGTAATTTCAACATTCAGTAAATACAAGCTTCATGCAATTTCATGTATATACAGCTTCTACAGCTTGTGGTCCGTAGTGCTCCGAAAAATCTTTTTTATCTAGTTTTTGTTCCTTAGTTTTTTTCCTTAAACATCAGTTCTATGGAATTTCCTTCCTCTAACTTTCCAGATTCATTTAATTCATGTAAGTTATATATATATATATATATATATATATATATATATATATATATATATATATATATATATATATATATATATATATATATATATATATATATATATATATTAAAATTAATACTTTGTTTATAAATATATTAAGATTAAGAATTGCACAAGCAGTAGAGTGTCCTGTTTTAAACCCAAGCTGTTTATTTTAAAAGGCATTATTTTTATTCAAAAATAAATATAATATGTTGTACACAATGTGTTCCAGGATTTTCAAGAAGCAAGGAAGAATGGAAATAGATCTATAATTATATTATTGATATTATTGATATATTATTATCTCCAGATTTAAAATCTTGCAATTTTAAAATTTTCTATTCATTGTTTCTAAAGTTCATTGTTTTAACAAATTATTAAGTATATGAAAGAGGGTTTTTTATACTTGTGCTTTATATAATTTTAAATAGAATTTTAAAAATAAGAACACAGCATCTGATAATTTTTTTTTTTCGGTTAATGCTGTGTTTTTCTATAATAAATTTGCTAGCAGTCAATAATTCAATCTAAAATTTAATAAATGTTTATTTTGATGTACTCGTTTTTTATTTTGATAACTCGCCTGTTTGGCCAAGTGGTTAGCTTGCAGAGTTTCTGAAGCAAAGCGCCATGGTTCGAATCCTACCACTAACGGCTTTTATTTTTTGAACAACCATAGCGCAATGTAAGCGCACTTGTCTCAGAAGCTAGAGATCCATGGTTCAATGCCATCTCTGGGCAATTTTCATAACATCGGTAAAGAAGGAGGCATGAACTCCCTTTTAAATGCTCTTCCGCAGTGCTCTGTGATAAGTCTGTAAGGACTTTCTTGGGGCACCTAAGATAAAATTTAAAAAATAATGCTGAATTTGAAATGTGCTTTATGTGTATTCCTTTATGGTTGCAAAAAAATATATATATATATAAAAGTTATAGTAAACTTGTAACTTAAGAAACAATTGTTGCTACCTAGCAAATTGTATTTTAGACAGTTCTAACATACAATATGTTATGCTAATGAATAAATACTTTTTTAGTTTGGAAATTTAAATCTAAAGAATGCAAAAGAGGTAACTCAATATATTTATATTTTTTATTCTTTATAATTGTTATGTAACTTTTAATTATATAAAGTAGGTTTTGATGGATGTTTGACAGCACAATGTTTAGGCATCTGTACATACTAATTTTTAAATAAACTTGGCATAATTTATATTATAAATAATACATGCAGGGTTGTTTGCAAATTAAGAAAATTTGAAAATTAAAAAAAATATATAAGTAATATACGATGGCTGTAAATTTTGTAAAGCTACAGCCTGCCCAAAGATGAATTTTTTTTCTATAATTTATTAACCTCCCCAATGCCGACGAGCCACTACAGTTTATATTTACACTATAGTCCACTATTGTGTAACAGTTTTTGTAAAAAATAACAAGAAAATACAATAAGAAAACAAGCTTTTTTTTCATTGTTTTTCTACAGTTTCTGTAAAGAAAGAAAATGACCTGTTATCATTTAATATTGATAATTGCACATTATTAACAGAATATTTTAAACTTCTGCTTAAAGTGGAAAATAAGGTGTTTCTAGACTTACTACACTATATTGTGTCTTTTGCAAAAGATTTTAATATTTTTAGTGTTACTAGCTGTAAATCTTTTTTCTTCTTTGTTCAACAGCATGCGTTGTGGATAACAATGATTGTGCAATTGAGAATATTAATAGTTTTAAAATAATTAGATTAAAGTGTCTACAGTGCAAAAGAATCTAACTATTTTGAAAGTAAGAGAAGACAAGCTCTTAAAATATCTAATTTTTTAAATGTATTGCAAGTGTTCTTAAACTTTTAACAAAGTATAACCAAAACTTAATTGGAAAACCTTTCTATTAAGAAATACTTCTAATGGAAATTTTTATTGGCATAAGCAGTGTTTCAAAAGAATAACATGTTTTCTTTATTAAATTCAGTGTACTTTTAATTGCATCAAGTTGTGTGGTTCAAATTTATAAGTTATAACTGTTTTATTGAACATATGTTGTTTGCCAGTGTTACTCTCTTTTTTGTCTTTTGCTTCAATTGGTTTTTGAAACCTATTCTATTGTGTGTGGGAGCACAATTTTTTTAAACATGTTACGGTCTTATTTTTTTGGTTACTTTGAATAATATCTTGATATTTCAGTTAACAAGGGAATCTCCATCATAATGCCTAAACCATAAATACATTTATAATGCAGACAAACAATTCTTTAATGTGATAATATGTAGGTTGTTGGGTGATAAAACTATCTTCATATAAGTAGTTTACAAACATTGATTCGGTTTGTCTTATTTAAGATAGTGGTTCCCATTGGTTAAGCTTACCTAACATATTAAGATTTAGCCTACTTTTGCTGATTTTAATCATGCTATGTCTAAAATAATATATTTTCTTGCATTTAATTATTAAGTTATAAATTATAACGTTTGTTGTTTTGAAAAACACAAATATTTAAAGTAAAATGTTTAATTATGCCACATTAAAATCATGATTTTTTTGTTTGTTTATCATATTTTTATAAAAATTGGTTTTTTCAAAATCACTGTTAAATTTTATGAATGCCATTTCTTTAATTTTGATGTGTTTCTGTATTCTATATATATTTTTACTACACTATTGAACAATTTAACCCAAGCACCCATGTTAAATAAACTACAGAAAGGTATTTAAAAAAATATTTTTAACAATAGTTAAAAAACTCATCATAGAGTGATGAAATAATGTATTTATTAATATTATATATAAATGTATATGTATATATATATATATATATATATATATATATATATATATATATATATATATATATATATATATTGCGGGCGCGATAAAAAATGCTCGCTAATTTAGTTACGAGAGTAAAAAATCAAGCTCATCTTAAAAATTTGGGAGGGAGTAAACTAGTAATGGTTTACTTGATTTTTTGTTAATTTTTTTTATAAAAAGTTTTTCTTAAAGATTTTTGTTTAATTGAACAAAAAAGTTAGCTTATTGTTAAAAAAAAAAATAATAATCTCTATTCACATATCTTTAGTTGCGTTTTTTCAACTGAGGTAAAATGTTAAAGTTACACTTTAATTAAAAAACTCATTTTTTCATGTTAACTTATGTCATTCTGTTACAAATTTCTACAAACAATGAATGGTGATTTGTGAATGAGACTTCTATGTATAAAACGTTTACAGCAAACGTTTAATGAAATTAAATAAAGTTTTATTTATATAAGTTTATTAATAATATTAAATTGCCAAAATTTAACTAAATTTAAAAAGCTTTTGTTATTTAAATTATAATTTATATTATATATAACTTAATTAAAATTATAAATTTCTTTCAAATAAATTCAATGTATTAACGAAAAAAAGTTGACTGTAGTATTAAGTTAAAGATAAAGAAAGTAACAAAGAAAATACATAAAAGATAGATTTTTTCTTTAAAACAAGATCATTAAAAACTAGGTGGAAAAAAAAACACAATCAGATGCGATCAAATAATAAATAAGTATTTAGGAAGTCGAAAAAACTTTAAACATTTTGTCAGGCAGTGCGCTGCTAAATAATAGTTTTAAAATATTTATCGTCTAAAGAACGCTGTATAACAAATTAAAACTTAATAAAATTGTGTGGAACAGCCTATCCAAAAATAAAAGATCGCTCCCGATAACTTAATGACAAGCATGCATAATCGCGCTTGCTAAAAAGTATTTGAGTTTTTTGGGTGTGAAACATCGTTCTGGACAATTTTTTTCTTGTCAAGGCCTGTATATATATATATATATATATATATATATATATATATATATATATATATATATATATATATATATATATATATATATATATATATATATATATAATATATACACACACACACATGCACACAAACACAATGCACTTACTATCCTATATTTCTGAAATATAAAACTGAATGAATAAGGTTTGTCAAGATATTTGTTGAGTGTGGTATTACCAGGGATGTGATTGGGATTAAACCTAGTAGCACTTACTTATAATTTGAGTACTCTTCATCTGTGAGATATTTAATTCGAGTATTCTTCTGGTTCAGTGTAATTTGTTTTAATCTTTTATAATTAAGTTAATTATAAAAGATTAAAACAAATTATGTAAGTTTTTATTATATAAGTTTTTATTATATAAGTTTTCATTTTTGGGTTGGAAACCCAACAGTTTGTAATACATGACATAACACATTTGTTATTATAATGCTCTCTTCTGTTGTATGTCTATGCTTGTATTTAAATATACAAAAAAAATCTCACTGTTTTTTTTTTATAACTAGGTGTCTGACTATGCAGCACAAATAGTTGTTGATGTAAGTTGCTGTTTAAATTTAGATTTTTTATAATAATATTTATCTGTTTTTGCAGTTATTTAAAGTTGGTATTTCTAATTTATATTTATGCGTGTGTGTCACTCTTTTTTCTACATCACTTTAACTACCTAATTATCTTATTATTACTGATAGTTTAGACAACTTGGGCACTTCTATTGTTGTAACTATTTTAATTATTTTAATTTTCTGAATAAGACTCTGGTGCACAATATATATATATATATATATATATATATATATATATATATATATATATATATATATATATATATATATATATATATATATTGTTTTAAAGTCATTTTAGTTTTTTTAACATTCAGAAATTTTATGTTTACGTAAAATATGTTGATATATTTTTTTTAAGGCGATAAAAAAAATCTAGCTCAGCATAAAATAAAAACAGATTTAAACTTTCTTTGATTGTTGGTTGCACAGTTATTCTTATATTTTCACTAGATTTAAACTTTCTTTGATTGTTGGTTGCACAGTTATTCTTAATTTTCACTAGATTTAAGCTTTCTTTAATTCGTGATGTTAGAATAATAGGGTTTTATCTCCATTTTTTGATGTTGAGAGAATTTAACTTTTGATTTTTAGTTATTTAACTATTTTACTGCTGTTGTTGTTTATATTGATAAAATGTTTTTTATGTTTTTTATGTTTTATTATTAATCTTACATTATTAAATAAATTTATAATTTAAAATTGCTTGTTTACAAATTAATTGTCAATTCCAACTTTATTAAATAAGGTTCAAGTTAACAATGAAAAACAAAAATATTTGTTTTTAAATGTTATACAAATAATAATAATAAGATTAATATACTAAAATTATATAATTTTTAACACAAAAATTTTATAAATAAAAACAGAAAATTAAATTTTTCTACCATAAAAATTGGGAAATAAAACCTTATAATTATCATCTACCAGTATATTTTGTCTTATACTAATTTATATTACTTAATAAATAATAAATGTGTGTTATAAGCAATCAATTCAATAAATTTAATATTTTAATCTTTTATTTTAACAAATTTAACAAATTTTTACTTTTAATTTTAAAAATTTAAGAGAGTATAATAAATTTTGTTAAATTCTCTTAAGATTACAAAAGAGTGATAGAAACCTATTATTCTGATGTCACGAATTGTTGGTTACACACTTATTATATATTCACTAAATTTAGACTTTACTTAATTGTTGGCTACACAATTATTGTATTTTTATTAGATTTAAACTTTCCTTAAATGGTTGGCTACACACTTATTATATTTTCACTAGATTTAACCTTTCTTTGATCATTGGCTACACATTTATTCTAATATTTCCACTAGATTTAGACTTTCTTTGATTGTTGGCTACACACTTTTTTATAAACAAAAGTATGTGTTTGTATATGCGCAACATTGAATTTAAAATTATTTTTTGTCTAGGCATGTTAAGAAATCACTCACCATCAGAAGATAAATAAATAGTTTTAATTTTTTAATGTCATAATGATGGAGGTGACTCAGTATTTTTTTTTAGAAATCTTTATCCTTAACAAAAATGACGGAATAATGTTTAAAAAGACATAAATAGTATTTTAGTATTAGCCTTGGGGAAATAAATATATAAGCAAAAATATTATAGATATATGTTTTCATGATTTTATCAATGTTTACAAACCAAATAATAATTAACAAGTATCTCACTACAACCAACCAAGTTTCAAAACTCCTTGCAACCATAAAGATCTGAATGTATTTTTTTTTTAGACAGAAAAACTTGTTACACATTCGATTCCTGATAAAATCTTTGCACTGGATAAAATGATTAAGGTAGGAGTTTTTTTGATAATATAAAAAAAATGATTTTTATTATATTATCAAATTTGAAATATGAAACTTTACACTAATGAGTTTCACTTCTAAGTATTGTTCTTTATAGAAGAGACTTCATAATGAAGTTAAAATATTTAAGAAATAATAGAAAATTGAAAAATGAAAAATTGAATTGTTATACTTAACTTTATATTTAAAGATTTAAATTTTTTTTAGGATGAGTTTTTAGTGGTGAAAGATGTTGTGCAACAAAATATTGAACACTTTGAAACTCTTAATTCAAATTCAAATCACAACGATTCTTTCAATGACGGTATCATTATGGTGATGCTTTGTAATATTGTTTTTTTATTGAAAGCCATTATTGTTTTTGAAAGCTCTATATAATTTATGCCTTTTTGAAATCCATATAGGATCATGTGTGTGTGTGTGTGTGTGTGTGTGTGTGTGTGTGTGTGTGTGTGTGTGTGTGTGTGTGTGTGTGTGTGTAGAGGTGTGATGCATGAGCTGACTTTATGAAAAGGCAATTCTTATAAATAACCCTCAATTTGGTTGTGAGGGATGGTAAACTATAGGAACTTGTAAACTTTGGATAGTTAGCTTCCTACTGATAGTAGTAGAATAAATATAATCTGTCTTGTTCTGCAAAATGGGTTAATATATGGGGAAGGTTACCCTAACTACACAAGTGTCAAATCATTAGTGCTAAACTTTAAAAAAAAAATTATTTTTATTTATATTTTTTATATAGATCAAGTTTTTTTATTTACATGTGGAATTAAAATTTTATGATAGTAATTTATATGGTAATAGATTTTTGATTATAAATACATGCTTTTAACTGCAACATTTGTTTAGAACTCAAAAAAAAGAAAAATTGACGATGAAGATCAAGAAAGTAAGTTCAAAAAGCTTTTAGAATTTTATACTATGTTTTCAATTAAGTATAATGTATCAAACCGTGTTTTTTTTTTAGTTTTTTGCTATAATCTTTTTTCTAATATTTATTCAGCCATTCCAAATACTTTAATTAAATATTCATAGAAATTATAATTATTTTTTAATTCTTTTTTCTTTTGCTTGTAACACTTTGCTTTTGTTTTTTCCAGCTCTGCCCCATGCTGCAAAAAGTTTTCCTTGCAACAAGGTATATACTTTTAATTTAACATTTTTCATGTGTGTGTGTGTGTATATATATATATATATATATATATATATATATATAGAATATATATATATATATATATATATATATATATATATATATATATATATATATATATATATATATATATATATATATATATATATATATATATATATATATATATATATATATATATAGCATATATATAGCATATATATATATATATATATATATATATATATATATATATATATATATATATATATATACATATATATATATATATATATATATATATATATATATATATATATATATATAGCATATATATAGCATATATATATATATATATATATATATATATATATATATATATTATATATAGCATATATATATAGCATATATATATATATATATATATATATATATATATATATATATATATATATATATATATATATATATATATATATATATATATATATATAGCATATATATATAACATATGTATATATATATATGCTATAGCACAAGTATATTTAGCCACTTATTTTTGAAAAAAAAGAATAATGAAAAAAACTTGTAATTTTCAAGAAAGTATTACAAATTTTTATTATGCAAAAGAAATAGAAATAAGTATCAATTAGTTTCATTTAATTATTAAAACAAAGCAAAAATTAAAATTTACTGTTCACACCCATTTTTAAATTTAAATCTAATAAGCTCAAAAGAAAATTCTAAAGTTTTTTGAAAGTTTTTTATATTAAGAATTCCTAAAAATATCAAAGAATCTTTTTGAAGATTACAACTAATCTATTTTAAGGTTTCAAAGAAACTTTACAAAAGATTCTAAAGTCATATTTGTAGATTTGTAAGAACCTTTATTGATGGTTTTAAAGAATTCTAAATGACTCAATTTCTGAAAAATTAAAGTAGTTTATAGTAACTTTGTTTATGTTTAAACTAGTTTACATTTATACAGACTTATGACTTTATGCAAGCTATGCACGTGTAACTAGTATATATATATAGTTATTTTGTACCTAATTGCAGTATTAAGTGGTAGCTGAAATAAGTAAAATATTAAAAAAAAAAACATTTTTAAAAAATAAAAATAACTAAATCTAAAAATTATTTATACCTTAGAGGCTGTTAAAGTTGATCAATATAATAAAACCAGAAGTCCAAGATATGGTGGAAATATGCGAAAAGGTAGCAAAAACAAAATTTTTTTTAAAGATTACTTGAAAACCAGTTTAAATTATATCTTATTTACAAGGTATTGTTAACTTCCTCATAAAAAAACGAACCATAGTTGTTTTTTTTATATTCCAAAGTTTATTATGCTAAATTATGTATTTTAATAATTTTTTTTTATATTTTATAACTAAAAAATCAGATAGACTACTTGTCAAAAGACAAGCTGTTTGTCATACTGCTAAATCCCAAATATTTTTAACTAATGTTAATTTTTTTTTATTTTAATTAAAACTAATGCACTTATTTTAGTTTTTTAATCATTAAATAAATGAGGGGAGTCTGAGGAGAGCTTAAATCCTCCTTTATTTTCTTATTACAAATGTTGTTATCAACTTTTGATGTTAATTATGTGTAATCTATGTGTTACTGTCGGGTTACATATAGTTATATATACATAGTTACCAATATAGTGCTTTAACCCTTTCTTTCCCATTGTTGCTGTTTGGCAACACAAAATTTAAATTCAAAAATTAAAACCCTGTTTTATTTTATTTTTAATTTTAAGTAATGCTTAAGTTTTGCTACTTCCTACTAGATAGCAACATGTGCAATTTAAAAATGAATACGCTGATTCGTAATTGTTTTTTGAAAATATTAAATTTCGTTGTAATTGTTTTTTTTTAATTTCATAAATCGGAAAAGAAAGCATAAAATGGTTTTTTTTTGTTTCGTGCCTCTAGTTTGCTTTATTTCCCAGTGTTTCCTCGTGTTAACATAACTGACATAAAAAAAAAAAAAAATTAAAACAAATTATAATTAAGTGTAAATTGAAAGAAATCAAATAGAAGCAGTGATTTTTTATTATTTTTATTGTTATATATTATTAACTGTTCCCATTATTAAAATAATAAGATTTTATTTTTAGATGCAAATGTGGATTCAATTGTTAATACCAAAGATTGAAGATGGGAATAATTTTGGAGTTTCTATACAGGTTGATAGATATTTAATTTGTATTTATATTATATATGTTTTGTTTATATTATATTTATTTGTCTTGAGTTTTTAATCAAAATCATTTTAGTTGTTATTTTTTTATATGTTTATGTTTAAAAAAATATAATTTTTAAACATTTTTTGTAGGAAGAAGTTTTAAATGAAATACATAGAATACAAAGTGATTCAGTAACTTATTTGGACTCAATTTCACGGTGAATATTTTCAAATTTGAATAGGTTCATGTGTGTGTGTGTGTGTGTATATATATATATATATATATATATATATATATATATATATATATATATATATATATATATATATATATATATATATACACACACACACACAGGGTGTGTGTTAATATATATTATATTAAATATATAATTGATATATTTAATATAATGTTGAATGGCAAGTCAAGCAAGAGTGAGTTTTAGTCTTTTTTTATGTAAAAAAAGAAAGAGATGCAATCTTATCATGATGGGAGAGAAGTTGAAACTTGGCAAATACAAGAGGTCCAACTACATTTATGATGCATTTTTGAACCTTGTCTAGAAGAAAAAGTGCATTATTAGAAGAACTAGCCTAAATATGACAACAGTACTCCATACAGGGACAAATAAGAGATTTTTAAAGGTAGGGAATAAAATCAGGATTAATATAATGGCAAGCATGATAAGGAGAAGTAATTTTGCGATGGGTTGTGTATTAGGATGGAATGAAAATAACTTTCCTCAAAGTTCTGTTATTCTCCCCAATTTTTATATTAGTTATAAAAAAACTTAAAAATGAGACTTAGATGAGCAAAATTGGACAAGAATTATCCCCTGACGCAAATTTTCAGAATTTTTTATATTTAAAATATATTTTTTTCAAATAATAATTTTAATTATTCTTTCTTTCAAATGCATTATTTATAGTCTATTAACATGTTATATTAAAGGAGTATTCTTCCTAGTTAATGTAACCGTATGACATAATGTTATACGACTTGTGTGTGGCATCGTAACTTTTCCAAAAGATTGCTTAGTTGAATATGATGCTCTTTTGCTTCTTCCAGTTGCTCATCATTAAGTTGGTGGCTCATCTGCTTTGAGTTACTCCAGTCAACTCCTAGATATTCTTTGCCATAAAATTAAGAGTAGAAGCTTTAAATCGCCACACACTTGTTTGATTAGTTTTCATACTTTTTTCTTCTCTAGCTCTCTGTATACGCATAACACTCAATTTTGATTGAATCTTGAGGTACCCCAGAAGTTATTTGAAATAAAAAAGAATGTTGACTTTCAAACATTACTTCAATACTGCAGTCAGAAAGAAATTATTTAGTAATCTCAAAAACTTTCTTAGTCAACATTAAGATCAAAATCCATATTGATTATCATAGAGTAATTAGATTCACTCTAGTGCTAGAAATTTATTAATCAGACTCAAAGTCTTTGCTAATTATAGAGAAAAAACTGGTTTGATAATTTGTTAATATGTGGGGGGGGGGGGGGGGGAGATCATTTAGTTATACAGGGTTTTATATATGATCGAAGTGTTACCCAGAATTTTTAAAAATTGGAATCACTGATGTTATTATTCAGCAGGCAGCAAAACAGTTGTGCCTTCTTTAATTGTGTAGAGAGTATAGAAGACACTTATAGAGATCAAATTTGTAAGGTAAAGAGTAAAGATATGTGATTAGGTCAGAAAATGTGTCACAAAGTTAACTATCTGATTAAGAGAATGAGAAATAAAGAAGTTATGAGCTTTAGTGCCTGCAGTAAAATATCTATTAATACTGAGATTGGAAAAAGAAACAGACGAATTTGGATTAATCTCACAAAAAGAAAATGTCTGTCAATTTTGCATGAGGTATTTTAAGGTATAGAATTTTGTAGATTCAACTGATGAAAAGTTGAATTGAAGACCACAAATATTTGTAAAAGATTTATTAAAACAGGTGTTGGTATTTTTTGTTTAACTTTTTTAGATATTTTAGCTATAGTTAAAGAAATTATCAATCATAGATAGAGAACATGATATAGCATGATATAGCACTTAACTCATTCATAGAAAAAGCATTGCACATGATAGAGCATGGTACTCCAAATAATGATCTATGCAGTTGACTTAGCCCTGCTAATTAACCAAAACTTAGGTTCCTTATGCTGCTTTAGAATGCACATCAAATACACTAACAGGAACACTATCCATGCACAACATGGCTCTGGTAATACTCTGATATTTTACAGCTGTCAGAGTTTTAAGTCAGAGTTTATTTCTCCTAGCCTGGACCTGACCTGGAGTAGTTTAAAGAACTTCTGTAAATAGTACTTAAAATCATCGAGCAAGAAATTTTAGAAATGAATTAAGAAAAACACTACATCTAAAGGAACATATAGTCAATTGCGGATGAGTAACACCAGTATGGAATTGTATTAGTTACACAGTAACTAATACACTTCCATCTATATAATAGACAAAAATAGATACTACTAAAGATGTGACAGATATTAGATAATATTGATTACAGGATTTCTAGCTTTTGCTAAGAAAGTGAAACCTACAAGACAGCAGGACATGGAGCAAGTTCCACTGGATTACGTGTTACCAGTAGTAGGTTGATTGTGATGATCACCCTGCTACTGGCAACATGAGCTGAGGATTTAATTGCTATATAATTGTCATTATTGACAAATTATTGAATGCGTACCATTAGCTCGATTTTTTTATAAAGTTTGTCAATATAAAGTTTTACAAAAGTTTGCAGTTGATCAAAGCATTCTCGAAAATAAAATTTTGTACGGATGTAAAGGTCAAAAATAAATAAAAAAGCAAAATGTTTCTTTATGCATAAAACTTTTTTTTTGACATACATCACAAGCTTGTTGTTTATGTATTTCAGTCTGTTATATTACCTTTGCTTATTTTTTATCAACTTTTTATCAACCTTATGCTCCTGTACTATAATTTGATGAACTTTTACCTAAAAAGCACGAAGTGAAATATTTGCATACCAGGGGTAATATACCAGCAGCATTTTTCTTGTAAGATACCATTATTTTTTATGCTTTATTTTGAAAAGTAGCATGTTGGCTACAAGTTTTTGGTTTATATACTGTATTAAAATTTTAAATTAAAAAACAAATCAAAAGTTTAAAAATTACAATTTACTGTAGAATGGGTTCTAATGACTTTAATAAAAGATGTCCCAATAGAAAATTACTCACTAGTTTCAAATGATAGGGGAGAAAAAAACTTTAATGTCTAAACCTAGAAGTTCTTTTCCTTTTTTATAAATGGAAGAGATGGTGTTTCTTAGGTGGTGGTTGTATTTATTCTTTGGATATTTTTTATATGTTGTCAACTAAAATAATTTTCAATCTCTGTAAAGATTTAATATCATTGTTTATTTTTTCTTGATGTGTGTCGTTAAGGTTGCAAAATTTGATAGTTTTAACAAGTTTATTAAATATACTTTTTCAATCATATTGTTAACTTGTAAATGGTATTTTGTAGTAATAAATAACAAATATTGCTCAATATTTTGTAGTAATAAATAACAAAAATTGCTCAATATTTTGCAGGTATTATATCACAAGAGGAAAGATTGCTTCAAAAATAGTTAAATATCCATTTCTTGTAAGTTATTTATTTTCTAAAATTTAAGCCTCTTTTATTTATAATTAAATTATATTTAATTTTTTTTTTAATCTCTCTCTTTCTAGAATGACTATAAACGAGCAGTTAAGGAAATTGACGACAAAGAGTTTATGAACCTTAAATTTGGTATTAATGAGTTGAAAAGCAATTATGTAAATATTTTTTTTACTTTTTATATTGTTTTACTCATTTTGTTTGTTGTGTTCAGAGTTTTTTTATATTTAGCGGTGCACCAGGTATTACCAGGGGGCTGAAAAATTTTAATAAAGCTTGAAACGAGATTGTGTAAACTTTTTTTTCAAGTTTACAAATTTAAAAATTCGTGTATACATCCACACAAGTGTACATACCATGATTGGGATGCATTGCTTTTTTCAGGAAGAAAGTATCTCTAAACAAGGAAGGGGAACGTTTTGAGAATGGAGACGGTTGTGTTTAAGTAATATTTTGTAGAAAAGTAGAGGTTAGTGGGATTAGTCCAGGTGTGTTAGAGCCCAGAAATTTTCTAAAATGGTTACAAATAGGTGTGAAGATTTAAGCTATGTTAAAATGGTTACAAATAGGTGTGAAGATTTAAGCTATTTTAAAGCATTTGCAGTATATGCTTTAAAATAGCTTTACTCGAATTAATTAAAAAGCAAAGATGATTTTTAATTTTTTGTCTTAATTAAGTTGTATTTGTTCTACCCGATATATATTTTTACCTGATTTATGTCTTTACCGACCGTTATCTTAATAGTCTATAATAGTTGTCTTTAATAGTGACTTTGATTTTAAAATTTTTTTTAATACTTTTTATTAATTTTTAACAAATATTAAAAGTATTTAATTTAAACACAATCTTTATTACACTTCTCCAACCTCTCATATAAACACAATCTTTATTACACTTCCCTCCAACCTCTGAGGTAAACACAATCTTCATAACACTTCTCCTTAAGCCTCTCAGCAAGAAAAAAAGTGGACGATGCTTGAATTAAATGCTTTATATTTTAAAAAATCATATATACAAATATCGGATCTCGAATGGATCGGATGATGAATCCCATCGGATATGAAAAATTCCATTATCCATTTAGATACTTATCCGGTTGAATATCTGGTAATTTTCAAATTACCAGATTGCTTCCTGGTTTTTTTTGATTATAATAAATAGGTTATTTGTAAAAGCAGATGGTTAAAAAGAAAAATTTAAATTATATACTCAGAGAACGAAAGCGAATAATAAATTAATAGATAAAGTTTTTATAATTTATTTCAATGGACTTTTTCCCATAAAGCAATGCATTATGGTATTTGTATGTACAGAAAAATCAAAAACTCGCAATTCATAGTTTTTTTAATTTTTCATTATTTCGTGGCTTGCTCATACATAGATAATAGTTTTCTCTCTTATAATTAATTACATTTACGCCAAAATCTTTTATAAATCTTGTTATCTCCACAGGAGATTAACTGCATTGTAATATAAACAAATATTTCAATGCAGTTGAAGTTAGAGTAGCTTGTTTGAAGTATATTTTACAAGTATACATATGTAAAAAAATATATAATTAACGCTAAATATTCCTGCTAGATCTAGCTTTTTAAAAAGCCTTTAGCTTTCCACTAAATGCAACATTTTGTGTAATTACAAACAAGGAATTTAACAGCGTCGAAAACAAAATGATCTCTAAAGATGTAATTTAATGGTCAAAAGACAACATCTCTGTTTCCGATAACATATTAACATATATTTACTTATATAGTATCAGACTATATTTTGAAATATTTTATTATATAGAATTAAACCAAGGAATGTCAATCGCTGTGTTAATTATTGAAATTATTTTAACCAAAATCATTTTGTAAAATATTTACTAACGAATAAATGAAAAAATGTTAAAAAATTTAAGCCTAGTTATAATGGAAAAATTTCTTCACTGTCTGGACCATTTAATTAAAACTAATTTGACTGAGGAAAATTAAAGCTTGCCATAATATTAATCAATTTTAAGAAAATAATTACTTCAGAAACTAAAGATCAATACAAAAAAAAAATGGATTGAAGAACAAAATATAAAACTTACTGCATCAAGTTTTGGTACAGTTATAAACTATAGAAATAATATTCCTCCAACTTCATTGTTAAAAAAGCTTATAAGAAACTGTGATAGTAGTTTACAATCGCAAGCTTGTTAGTGGAATATTGAAAATAAATTTATTGCTCATGAAAAGTTTAAAGTAAAAGTTAACTGTGATGCTAAAAAATGTGATCTTGTTATAAATTCTAAATGCCATGGCTGGTTCTAGCCCTGACGGGTTGAGTATTAAGACAGCTGCAAAATAATTGAAGTAAAGTGCTCTTTTTTTAAAAAGAAATCTTTGTGTACATAAAGCTTGTACCAATAAAACGTTTTGTATGGAGGTAGTAATAGAAAAAATCATTATAATAAATTAATATTTTTTTATTCTTCAATATTTTCTATGCTGGGAATTGCATAAAACAATAAATTTTTATGTTTTACTTAGTTGCTAAAGCATCTAGGTACAAACATGTAAAAACCCGACTTCTTTTTTTTTTGTCTGCTTTTTTGTTGAAAAACATTGTTTGGTGCACTTGTTGTTATCTTTTCTTACAAGTCTTATATAGTCCAAATTTTACTCCATTAATATAGTTTTTAAAATTTGAACTAAAAAATTTAAAAGGTGTGAAATAAAATACACTAAAGTCTATTGGGACAATCTCAGTTCTTTCAATATTTGACATTTTACTCGACTTATTTATGTTGTTTACTTCCGCGTACATACAAATACCATAATGCATTGCTTTATGGGGAAAGGTCCATTCAGTTAAATGTACATTTTGACTATTCATAGAAACGTTATATTACTGACAAAAGTTTTTAGTTTAAACGTTATTTTGTTGACCTGCACCAAACAACTTTTTTATATATTTATTTATTTTTAGTTACTTATATTGGATTTGGTGTCAAAGAATTATGAGAAAATAAAGAAACCTCGTTCTTCCAATAATCTTAATGCGATGTACTAGTTCTTGATCATTCTGACAATTGCATTTAGTCTGATGTAAATAGTCAACGTTGAGTGTTGTTTAGATTTTAAAGATAATTGTTCAGAAAATAAATTAGTATTAGATTCAAAAATATATGTTGGGGGGATAAAAGCGCAACTGCATACACCTTAGATTCCATCTTGCCAACTTTGTAGGGTTATTATTTTACAGATTTTTTCTTTTAACTTACTTTTAAAGATATCCAATAACGTTTAAAAAACATGGTGGAAAAGTTGAAAATAGCTAAGCATTAAAAATTATAATTGATTTGACAAACTTTAGATGCACTCGATGAAACTTAAAATGCATCGTAAAAATCGAGATTTAAAAGATTAAAAAGCAATTTTATCGCATAGAGCGCTTCTTTATATTAATAATAATAAAGTATTGCACAGGGTAATCCAGTTTGTTTTTTTTAACTTTTCTATTTAAGCATTTTTCAAAATTCAAGTATCAAGTTATTCTTAAACTCCTTTATAGTATACTCATGTATTAACAATATGTATTTATTCTTTCGAAAACAATAGTTTTGAAAAATATTTCCGCTTTCCCGTATTGGCAACATTTTTGAATTCTCTTTAACTTTTTTAAAAATTATATTTTTTTAAAAGTTATATTTTAAATATTCATAAATAAATATATATATATATATTTTTTTTTTTTTTTTACAAAAATAGTATATATATCAGAGTTAAACGTAGAATTTGTAGGAGTGTTCCATTTTTTGGTATTTTAAACAATCGTTCCGGAATTTTGAAACTAAAGAAATGGGTCTAACCCCAAAAATTTGAGAGGCTAATACAAAAATTGTTGTAGCCTTCCTCTTTTTTTTTACATTAATTTGTTATGTTTATGTGGTAGACCACTAATAAACTCAAACCCTTCAAAAATTACATTTTAGCATTTATTTACTGATAAAATGATTAACGTTTACATTTTAATGACAAAATAATTTTTTATTTTATTTTTTAATTTTATGGTTTGGGAAATTTAGTCCTAGAAACCACAAAAAGGGTCATTACCTTGCGGTAAAAATCTCAAAAACTTTTGATCGACTTGAAATTTTTTTAAACTAGCTTATAATTATGCAGATCCTGTACTAAAATCAAAAAAAAAATCAACAGATTTTTTTTTAAAACAAAAAACTCTTTAAGAAAAAAAACCGGTATTTTTGACCATATTTGGACATTAAAATCTTTTTTTCTGATTATCACCATGTAATAAAAGTAGCAGGAAATTCATTATTACAATGTAATAAAAGTAGCAGGAGATTCATTATCACAATGTAGTAAAAGTAGCAGGAGATTCATTATCACAATGTAATAAAAGTAGCAGGAGATTCATTATCACAATGTAATAAAAGTAGCAGGAGATTCATTATCACAATGTAATAAAAGTAGCAGGAGATTCATTATCACAATGTAATAAAAGTAGCAGGAGATTCATTATCACAATGTAATAAAAGTAGCAGGGAAGATCCATGCCAAAAAAAAAAAGAACAACTAAACATTTCATAAAAATCAACAAAATAATGAGATATTCACCGCAAAGTCTTGAATTTGAAACAACTGAGAAAAACATATTTAAACAAAAAAAAAAGCGTAAATTCCTTCAGATAAATATAAAAAAACTCACTTAAAAATCCTGTTGACAAGTTTTTATCTTATTATGAAAGTGTTGAGGAGTAGAAGCAAAGAAAAAGCAACAAAAAATGTGAGCAAAAAAATTGATAATACTATTTAAGACAAAATAATTTTACCAAAGTAATTTAGTTATTAAAGAAACTAGAAAGTCTTTTTTTTATTTAATTTAGCTTCAATCTAAAATTTTAATAAATTTTAAGTAAATAGTAGCTTCTATTAAATAAATATAAAGTATATTTAAACTAAAATTCTCCAGCACCGTAGCTTAAACTCTCTTCATTCTCCTCTATGTCCAAAAAGCCTTTACGAATACTTCGTAGTTGCTTTTGATTCTTTTTTTGCTTTTCTCCGTATTTTTTCTCCATATTTTTTATTCTTTTTAAATTAGAAGATGCTAAAAAAGCTGAACAATAATGTCCTGGTTTTAAATAAAGTTTTTCAAAAAATCTATTGATACCAATAAGCCCATCATTCAAATTAATGATGGCAGAACAACAACGTAAATTTAATTTCTCAATTCCAACATAAACATCTTTAGGAAAATGTTTCCAAATCAAAGCATTTAAAGACTCATTATTATTTTGATTATTATATTTACAAATCCATCAAATGAAGAGTAACCTCTTTTTTTCCAGGCCCCGTCACCTGAGATATCCTCATTGACTACTGTATGCTTGTCATACAGTATATAATTTTTTCAAACTTGTTCTCCATACTTCTTCAGCTGCTGTATTCATGCTAGCTTCTGCTATGTAATTGTAATAGTTAGTAATTTCTTTACGTATTTTTTTACAGGATCGGGCAGATTTTTTCATAGGATCGGGCATGTTCATTAAACCACAAAACTTTTCTATACAAGAGTATCCTTATTTCTATATCCTTACTTATTTCTCGAAAAACTATATTTGCTCGTAAGTTAATATCGAAAGTTTTTGGACCCACTGTTGCTGGTTTGTCTATAGTTTTGCTGGAATAAAACTTCTGCTCCCTGTTGCAAGATACACATAAAATAAGTAGTTGGTGTGATAAATCTTTTTTATTTTTAGCATCACGATAAAAGGATACATTTGCACACTTTGGACAGCGGCCGATGGTAGTTATTATTTTATGTAACATGTTGGTGTTCATGAAAATGTAGCAGTCATTTGTAACATTCAACTGTTCATGCTGAGAAGAACTACTATCATTATCTACAACATCTAGAGAAGATTTACTGCTGAAACAGGAAGAAAAAATGTTCAGTTTTTTTGCAGAGTTGCATTCAAATTTTAGTTAAAAAATTAGATACATTTTCTTTACCAGCAACGTTTTTTAATTGATAACGGTTTACTTTAAATAGTCTACGTTTCTTACTACATCTTATTTTATTTCTTATATCTTTATTTCCCGTTATTTTAATTTTTGTTAAAAATAAAATTACAGAGTATCATAGCAATAAACCCAATGTGGTTGATACTGAAGAACATTGGTATATCCGTTGAAAACCATGTCACCAAATGCACCAAAAACATCAATTAACAAACAAAAAATAGTTCTAGAGTAACAATCGACATAGGTGAAGTTATTTTACTGAAACTTTGTTGTATAAGCTCACTTTTAGGTACATAGCAACGGAAAAAACAAATCGTTGCTTTGGGGTAAATAAGCTAACAGCTATTATCGTTTTAAAGAAAAGTGATTTTTAATGAGGTTAGCTTTTTTTATATATAAAATAAACTCGAAATTCGCAATCTACGATAATAATATTACTTAAACAAATTATAATTAATAAAAAAACTTTTTTAATTTTTAATAGCGGTCTACCACCTTAAAAGTAATTGACTTAATTAAACCTCATTAACTTGGCTAAAAAAAAAGAAAACAATTTAACATGTAGTTTTAAAGCATTTTTTAAAAACGCAAACTTTCGTCTAAAGTGGAGCAGTAGTTAGAGCGCTTGCTTTATAAGTAAGCGATCTAGAGTCCGGAGCGAGCTCTGGGCAGATTTTGCACCATCGATAAGGAAGGAGTTGTTACTTTCTTTTAAGGTGGTACTACCCTACATTTTTTATTTTTCAAAATATAATATTTTTCTTAAAATGAAAATGCTATGTCAGAAAAAAAAGCAAAAAACATACGGTTACAAGAACATAAATAACTAGAGTAATACTTGAGATAAAAGCTTTAAGTTTTAATAACATATAGCTAAATGGTTGGTGGAGGGCTCCTAGAAGAATTTTTTAAAAATATAGAGCCAAAGTAAAATGGCAGATGTTAGCCAGTAAAAATCATAAAAAGTGATCCGTGGGTTATGTAAAATTTTGAATTCTGGTCGAAATAAAAAGTATTTTTTGATTATTCTACTACCAGTCCTTTCTACAACATCAATGAACAAACTGTGAAAATTGCAAAAAGTAAACAGTTTCTGATATATCAATGTTCTAGTTTAAAAATATTTGAAAAATATTATTCTGAGAAAAACAGCTTTTACAATAAAAAAATGCCATAAACTAAAAAAATCTCTAGTTAAAAAACATCCAAACTGGCTAAAAAAGATGATTAACCTCCTTTTAATATTTTGTTCTATGTCAAAATAATTGAGGAGTAGACTTGCAAAACCAGATAATTCGCTTTTTTCTCATTCTGAGATAATGGCAAAAAATGTTTTCCAGTAAATCAAATGGCTGAAAATTAAAAAATTAAATACTAAACAATAGATATCATTAAAAGGTCAGGTCAGGTTTATCCTGCTACTGGTAACATGTAACCCAGTACCCCCTGCCTTGGGGCTCTTGGTTGAGTAAAGGCTAGAGATGGTGTCTTGATAAAAATACTCATCTTGGGCAGATGTTACATGCATCCGGCTACTGTCTTGTAGAAGGCCTCCTAGGCAAAGACTTGAGGGGTAAACAGATTCTATCTGTTGACCAGCCTTGCACCCCTTCTTAATCTATTAGGCTGGCGCAGATGTATTTTTAATACATTGTTTTCAGTTTAGGATGTTGAACGCTGGATCTTCTTGACTCGATACATGGGTTTTGCTTGTGTCTCTGTATTTATGACTAGGCAACTCATTCTATTATCTCCAAATGAGGGTACAGCTCTAAAACTCAGTTTAATGGTTCTGAGGCCAGCTGGTAGTCAGGTTTCCCGAACTCTGTGGTAGCTCTCAGAGAGACTAATTTCATCAACAGCTGAAAAATATCAGAGTACTAACAGTGCCATGTTGCGCATGGATGGTGTCCCTGTTTGTACTTTTAGTGTGCATTGCCAAGGCCAAATTGGAGCCCTTTGTTACGTCGTAGAGTTTTTTAATGGAAATGAGGCAATTGCTTGGGCTATAAAACAGTGTACTGAGTACTATCTATGTTTCGAGTCAAGTTCTTTAACAAATCTAAAAATGAATAAAGCAACAAAAACTATGAAACACAAAAAACCACAGTCAT